ACAAATATTCTTTTTAAACTTTTTATAAAATTTCAATTTTTTCGAGTACCAGGTTGACCTACTTTTGAAGAATTTTTTTTCCCCAGAATATTAAGAACCCTATAAATGTTTAATTGACTTGGGGCACCTCTAAAAATATTTTTTATTCCAAAAAATTTTTAAATCCAGTGATAATTTATTATATTGCGTATATTTAGAGCAGTGATTCCCAAACTTTTTTGTGTTGTAGACCCCTTGCTATGTTTTTCAGTTTTGGGTAGACCCCCAACTTTTCTGATATCGATTTTTCGTTAATTTCTAACTGTAGTGAAGTTTAGTTTTAAAAATGTCAAGTAAAAACACATGCTAAGTTTTACACATTTACTAATTGCATTTAAAATACTCGAAATAAAATTGTGTATCTGTATATGTAACATAAAATAAACACAAAAAATAAACTAAGCAATAAGTAAATTTTTTTAGTGAGAAAGAACCTGATGCTTAATTAATTATAAATTAATAACAAATTATCAACATTTGGCGCCAACTTCGTAAGGCTTAATCTCCTCGGCTAATGATGTCCAGTCTGTTTCTTTTTTTCATTAGGAGATCGGTACACTGAATCCTCTTTCCACTAGGTATAAGGATGGAAAGGAAATAAAAAATTTTCTTGCTATATTCCATAATACGGGATAAGTAAAGGGTACCATAACATAAGATACCATACATAAAGGGTATGATGTTTTGCATCCAGAATTACTGATATCCGTTTTTAAACTGAACCTTAAGTTCTTCGTTTGTATTTAGTGCTATCAATTCCTATTGTATTATGACATTTGTTTCTTCTATCTCACCACATGGGTTAAAAACCCATGATGGTATTACCATAGTCAAAACATCCTCAATCTAGTTTCGAAATCTGAATAGAGGGCATTTAAGTGTTGAACATAGGTTCAAACGTCATATCAGTGTATGTTGAGATCCACTATCGTGGACCCCCATTTTCATTTCATAGACCCCCAAATATTTATTTCACTGACGTACACCCCTTGCAGGTTGTCATAGACCCCTGGGGGTCTATATAGACCACTTTGGGAATCACTGATTTATTACAAGACAGTTTTAAAAAATTTCTGTTTTTCAATGCACCCTAATTAAAATAGCAACTGATTTATTCTTTAAAGATAAAACTTGCTTAAAACAACTTTTTAAAACTAAATTTAAGAAACTACTACTGATTTTAATATCTGGTTCCCATTTTCTTTTTGATGAAAAATAATTTAATCAATCATAATACTAGTCATAATACTTTAAACATGATGGTTACCAGTATTTAAACATGATGGTTACCAGTATTTAAACATGATGGTTACCAGTATTTAAACATGATGGTTACCAGTATTTAAACATGATGGTTACCAGTATTTAAACATGATGGTTACCAGTATTTAAACATGATGGTTACCAGTATTTAAACATGATGGTTACCAGTATTTAAACATGATCTTTTGTAATTTAAAGAAAATTATTAACCAAAGAAATATTATTATGAAGAGATGTTTGTTAATAATGTTAACTGGTTGCATTAGTGCATGCTCCATGGAATGATTATTTCAAAACTTGATTTTAAATTGAAACTTTAAAATCTCTTTCAAAAGAAAATTTTTTTTAAAGATCTCTAGAATATATATGTAAAATATATATGTAAAATATATATGTAAAATATATATGTAAAATATATATATATGTAAAATATATATGTAACCCACAGAATATATATAAATATATATTCTGTGTAGTTTATTATGTATATTCATAAAAATTATTAATGGAAAGAGCCTCTGAGAGGTTTGCTGGATTTATCTTTTTTAGTTATGTCTTTTTGGGTATTTTTTATCTAATGGTTGTGTGAATACAATAAATTAAACCATGAAGTGGTTTGCTACAAACAATTTGCCTTTGTTGATGTTTTTATCATAAAATTTATATAAAGATTTGTGTTTATATTTTTTTATATATGATATTAACTTTCTAGATATAAAGAACATTAATACCGAAGTGCTAATTCTTAAAAATAAAATTAATTAACTAACGTGTAAATTAACAAGAAGTGATGTTGTCATGTTTTATTTTTGTGAGATAATTCAAATTACAAAAGATCAAAATAAAATTTTCATAAATTCTTTTAATTTACTCATAAATTGCTTACTATCAATTGCTTACTATCAATTATTGCTTATCAATTGCTTATCAATTTTTTTACTCCTCTCTTACTTATCAACAGTATATTTAGTTCTTTGTTATCTGCATTAACAATATGTTTGCTTATTACCAAGCTAACCTATTGTTGACACAGTCATGAGTTACATTGAGTCCTTTAACAAAATTTTCAAAATATCTACAAGTTTTCAAGAAGTTGGGATGAGAATGAATCCACTCTTTAACTTTATTTACAGTTTAGATAGACATATAAAACATACTTTACTAAGCAATTACAATTTAAGGAAATTTTCTTTTCCAATAAATTTTGTTCTCTAATGAACATCTTGTATAATCTTTAGCTGCCAATTTCAAAATATAAAGCTTGCTATCAATCGTAAGCTTATTCAAATCTTTTATTTCTAGAGCTTTTGAGTTAACAGATTCGTGAAAAGTGTCCTGTTATCTTCAGAATGTCAAGTATATAGCTTTGTTTGGACCCTTAGATTCAATTTTAATGAAGTGGTGGCAACACGTAAACTAAAATAAACACTAAATAAGTACTTTATTAAGCATTAATAATAGCTAAATTTAGAACATTTGTAATTTTATGATTATAATAATATATAAATATAATTATTTATAATGATTATGTTATAATGATTATTTATATAATAATATATAAATATAATTATTTATAATGATTATGTATAAATATAATTATTTATGTTAAATATAAATTTAATTATGATTATGTTAATATATAAATTATAGTAACTATATAAATAGTACAGATTTCAACTATATTATCAGTTATTTTTTTTGCCATATCTTTCTACATGAATATATAGGAAGACCACAGGGGAAAAAGGGCACATATCACATTTTCCAATTATTTGAGTTAGGGCACATATCACATTTTCCAATTATTTGTCCCCTACTATATAAATATGAGCCTATATATAAAAAATAGTAAAATCCGATCCAAAAAAGGCATATGTAATGCTACAGAAACACAGTTAAAGAAATACAGTAAGAACAAACATAGCGACTTTCAAAGACAAAACTTTACTTATCTCAAAAGTGGAAATGTGTGACATGTGCCTTTTTTCCCTTGTAGTCTTTCATATATATATATAAATATATATATAAATATATATATAAATATATATATAAATATATATATAAATATATATATATATATATATATATATATATATATATATATATATATATATATAAAATATAATGCATAAAACAACAACTGCGTACAAACTAGTTTTTTTCTCCGTAATATTTTGACCTGTTTTTGCACAGATCGTCATCAGACATAAATTATAATCAGGGCTCAAATTAAATGTATAGCGATTGCTTTTCACACTTTCACGATTAGTTTTTTGTAAAAAAAAATATTTTATGCAATTTGATTTTTTTTTTTGTTAACTTTTTTTTCTTATTAATAAAAACTTAGCATTTTAAGGCATTCTTTCTTAATTTTTTATTAGAGGTCATAAACTATGTCACACTTTGAATTTATCTTTTGAATAGAAGTATGATCTTTGCTCTCTTGTGCGAAGAGTTTAATCAACATAAAACGCTTTTGAATTTAAACTACTTAGAATCTCTGCAGATAAAGTACATCACAGTAAATTAAAGCACATAAACCACATAAAGCCATTTCAGTTGCTGAAAGCACAAAGCTTGTGCTTTACTAGTGGTACATATACTGATTTGGTTAGCCCTGTTAAATACCAAAGTCATAATTCCAACAGAATAGTGTTTGCTGCTATGGAAAAAATAATTCAAATGCTATAAATACTTTTGCAATTAATCATTCTCTGAAATATTTCAGTTTTGAATCTTGGTACTCAAAGTCTTGGGCAACCTATTTAAAAAAAAGTTGTTCCGGGCTGCTTGGAGTCCCAAGTACTTTTTTAACAAAGGCTCCTTTTTGTTAAAAATAAAATGAATTATATAAACAATATATATATATATATATATATATATATATATATATATATATATATATATATATATATATATATATATATATATATATATATATATATATATATATATAAATCATATATAAATGCAGTAGTGGTGTAGTGGTAGAGCGCTCGCTTCATAAGTGAGAGGTTCCAAGTTTGATTCCAACCACATCCCTGGTAGTACCGCACTCAACTTATTTCTCTGTGCACCAGCTTTGTTCATCAAGAATCCTGCTTCTATAGATTTGAGAGAGGGTTATTAGTAAGTGACCGGGGCCCCGGCTAAAATGAAACTTTTTGCAAATCTGGTCCTAGCAAAATTATAAGGTTTAGCAGGGGTTGATAGCCAGGGCTAGAAATAAATTTATAATTCTTTATATATTATAATTTTATACTTACATTTACTATATATTAAATTCTGACATACATTTATGCTAATATTTAATAAGTAAGGAGAGATACAGTAAAAGGATGCAACTTGTTGAATAAGAAGCCAAGTAAGAATGAGTTTTGGTTTATTGTAATAGAGATGATAGCTTGTTCGAGCATTGACCATGATTAGAGAAACAGCATAAAAGAGGAAGGCTAAACCCTAATGATGTCATCATCATCAGCAGATGATAATGATGATGATAATGGCAATGATGATGATAATAATAATAATAATAATGATGACAATTATGATGATATATATATATATATATATATATATATATATATATATATATATATATATATATATATATATATATATATATATATATATATATATATAAACATAACATATATATGAATAAATATAAAAGTATAAATAAAAGTAAAACAGCTTACTCTGCTTGATAATCAAGTGGTCTAACCAACAATATTGCAAACTCAACTGTTAAACTTTCAGCTGTTATAACGTTATTTGCACAGTTGTTTATCGCCCTGGAAAAGAAAATTGTTTGATTTGCAATTTTTAATTATGTGCAACCATTAAAATTGACTTGTTTTTCTTTGTAATTAAAAAGCTTTTTCTTGTATTTTTTTTACACAAAATATTTCTTTAACAAAAGTTATACTAAACTTTTTCTAAAGTGCAGGTATAAATAGTTTGGAGCAGGTACAGATAAGAAAAACATACATACAGGGATACATGTAAACAAATGAAATAAATATAGAAATATACAAAATATGAAAACTAAGTTTCAAAAATAACA